TATCTCATGCCATGTTCATGTTAATAACAAAATGAATAGATTTCTTAGATTAATGTACTCGTCAGCGTTTGACTAAGCAAGTATATATTCAAGAGTCCAATGACTTTATCAGTCATCTTTCAATTAGTCTACGTGAAAATCACTAAACATCATTTCAGCTCACTAGAACAAGCTGATATAAGAACAGTGGAACAACTGAGATGTTCTCTACTACATGAAGTAAGCGTGGATGACGCTTCGTGTATCCGCTGCGAGTATCCGTTGAAATATCATGCTCATAGGACTCAAAAACAACAGAAATATTCACCTGAAATGAGAAGCTGAAACGACACTTTGCCATATATTTGTGTAACTCTTGTCCAATCTCTGAGCAGTACATTTCGTGATGCCTGAAAATCTAAGAACTGGGTAAGTGTAGTATCCTGTCCATCCCAATGTGGCAGACCAGTTGTTTTATTAGAAATGACCATGCATCAAAGGCATACAGAAATTGAAATGGTTTCATTACTTAAATTCTGCTTTATAAATGAATCTCATATGAAAAAATACAATCAAAGTAAGTCATTTGTGAATTGGAAATAATCTAACGAAATAATTCCAATTCTGACAAGTCTACAATTTTGAAAGTCACAAGCCCGTACTCGAATCTGATGTATCCACAATGTGATTAAATTGTATAAATAAATGAGATTTAAACACAATATAAAATGTTTCGTTCTACAGTGAATGTTTTAGGTATTCACCACATTATTGTGATGATCCCAGCAATTAATAAATATAGTGAATTCATTCACATTTAATTCATGACCTAAGACAGGTTTCGTGAAAGTGAGATGATAGATAGTATGATTTTCATCAAATTATGAATTACTTGTGTAAGCATATCGGAGTGGTTCGTAACAAACTGAATTTCAAATGTAGTTTATAGTGGTCTATCGACTTTTTCAACGAGTTTAAACCAGTTTCCTATTTATTCATCACATGATCAATATTCATAGATATTAGTCCGACTATCATTTGAATGACCATAATTGTGATATTTTAAAACTCTCACTCTTTTTAAATGACGTTTTGCGTACTCAGTGATTTGGACGAATTTTCAACTTGAATGAATTTGTCTTGATCGATCACCGAGTTTCACATTATTTGCTTAGTTCGTTGTGACTGGTACAGCCTTACTTGTATGAACATTTCACCTAGAACACTTACTCGCTCATTTCCCTGCTCCGTTCTGCCATCGGTTTTGCCAGTGCGTGCATGTAGCTTATGGCGATATACACAAAACGAGGATGGCTAAGCAATTAAACTGATGGAATGGACAAGTACATTGAATAACTTTACAAAACATAAGGGAGACTCAAATATACTAATAAATGATTTGAATGTAATAGATTCATGTGAATACACAATTATAGGACATATCACAAAGAAGAGATCCAGATAGTTACATGCTTAAAATGGACTCAATCTACTTATAATTAGCGAGTAATATAGTGCGATACACACAAAACGAGGTTGATTAAACACTAAAGCAGATCTAATTGATAAGTAAACGGAACGAATTTACAAAACATAAGAAATAAACAAATAATTGCCATATTTTTGTACCTTCCCCTAACGTAAGGAGGGAAGGCGATGTCTGAAGCTCAGCACAACTGAAAGACAATATACCACATAGTGATTGATCGAACAGTGTTAGAGAAATGTATTATGAGCAAAACACTTATTCCACCAAACCATATGAATGACTACTCCAATATAGACTGTGAGAATGTTTAAACTATTTTCTCTAATATAAACTGTGAAATTAAGTGAAATGTCTCTTCACAATAGAATGAATAGCTTAAAACACATCAATAAAGTCAGATAAACCCGAGTTACATAACACACGTGACGCTCAAAACTGTATTCATTAAATATATCTTGTGCTACTTACAAAATTGTTAGAATGAATAAACTGCTCATTGACCATAATGTGAAATATGTTAAAATACAGTATTACAGAGAGTTTAACCTGAGGTACCCAACAGACTTGACACACAAAACTGTATTAGTTAAACAAACTCTAACCAGAAATAATTATTCAAACCATTTTAACTCTGCCCTGGGAATCAGAAGGTCTTCATCTAGAAGAACCATAACGCTTCATGATGAAATCTGGGTTTCTTTTGAAGATCACGAAGCGGATGCCACTTCTGACGACCGGCGCAACCAATTATTTAAGTACATCGAATGCTCGTACAATGTGGGAGACAGGGAGAGTATTGTAAATGGCTGTGGAAATGAGAAGACACAACCTAGAGGTGCTTAGGATCAATGGAACACATTTGATACAAGTTGGACAACAACGACTAGCTTCAGGGGAGCTTCTGTTATACTCCGGCCATGAAGAAGAAAATGCCCCACATACACGAGGAGTTGCACTGATGCTGTCCAAACAAGCACAAAATGCACTAATAGTATGCGAATCTCATAGAACAAAGACCATCAAAGCCTCCTTCAAAACAAAGAAAGAGGGCACTACAATGAACATCATCCAATGCTATGCGCCTACAAGCGACTACAATGAGGACGTTAAAGATCATTTCGACGATAGGCTGCAGTCAATCGTCGAGAAGTGCCCAACAAAGGATCTGACCATTCTGATGGGAGATCTAAATGCCAAGGTTGAGATGGACATCACCGGATATGAAGACATCGTGGGACGAAACGGACTGAGAGAAAGGAACGAAAATGGAGAGATATTTGTAAACCTATGTGCCTTCAATAAACTGGTCATAGGCGGCACTATTTTCCAACATAAACGCATTCACAAAACCACATGGACTTCAACGGATCACACTGCGCGAAACCAACTTCACCATATCTGCATCAACAAAAAGTTCAGGTGGACGATGGATGATGTGAAAACCAAGAGAGGAGCAGATCTAGCATCAGATTATCACTTGCTGGTCACCAAGAATAAATTGAAACCCAAGAAGTACTGGACAACGGTGAGGAGAATATCAGAAATGTTTAATATGGCCTCTCTTCGGGATACTGATAAACGCAACAAATTCAAGATAGTCCTCAGCAGTAAGTTCCAGGCCTTGCATGATCTACTCAATGAAGAAGAAACCACTATGGAGAGCAAATGGAAAGGAAACAAAGAGGTAATCACTTCAACATGCCATGAGGTTCTGAGCCACAAGAAGCATCATCACAAGTAATGGATCACTGTTGGTACACTGGATAAGATTCAAAAAAGGAGGAACAAGAAGGCAGCAATGAATACCAGCCGAAAAAAGCAGAAAAAGTCAAGGCACAAGCTGAATACACAGAATGTAACAAGCAAATGAAGAGTAGCATCTAGGATGCCACTGGACGATCTAGAATTCGCAGATGATCTGGCCCTTCTATCGCAATCGCAACTACAAATGCAGGAGAAAACGACCAGCGTAGCAGCAGCCTAAGTAGAAGTAGGTCTCAACATAAAAAAAGGGAGAAGCAAGATTCTCCCATACAACACAGCATGCACCAATCAAATCACGCTTGATGGAAGAGCTATGTAGGGTGTAAAATCCTTCACACATCTTGACAGCATTATTGATTACCACGGTGGGTCTGATTCAGGATTCCGAGCTAGCGGTTAACTCAAGACTCAGGTTGATTCCCACAATTTATGTCCTATCGACCTATAGAATCTTGTCCCGATTTACTTCTGGGCGATGGATTAATTTGTTCTAAACATCAATAGATTGTTCCTGATGACATCCGAACAACGGATCAAAGGTGTCACGATTACACGATTGTTTATAAATACGTGTGCCTGTTTTTCATGTCGGCCGAAGTTATTCTTCCAGTTTCGACCCCGTAATTTACAACAATTTCGACGTGCGTATTGAAGTTTCTGATTATGATGTTGAATGACCGTTGGTTTGACTCTCAAAGCCATTTTAATGGATTATTAACAACATAAAGAAATAAATAATTACGGCTACACTTATTTGTAAGAATAAGTGAAATTCACTTCATAAGATTCACTAGCATTTTGACGAGGTATGTAGGTTTATGCCAGAATAAATTAACTCAGTGAAAATGATTATTGTGTAAAATTATCTTTCATCCAAAATGATTGAATACTCAGTTTAGGAAGATAGATCATTATCAATAAGTGAAAACAAAAAGAAACAACGATCGAAACCATTTGTCTTGTCGTCTGTCACGTTGCTCCTAAGCAATAAACTAACTGAGATATTATGAATCAAGATGAACACAAGAACCAAGATCGCTAACACGAATACCTGAGAGACGAAATGAATCCTGATGAGATATAGTAAATATATTAGTTAGATAATTTGGATTACGTTGTTTCTGTGTGAGGTATAACTAAAATTGATTAATTTTTTGATAGAATGAAGCTACGAATCGATTTCTCATTGAGATATTTTAATAAATATTGGTGGTCCGTTTGTAGTGTCATCTAAGCGCGTATTTTTAGTTCTGGCTGTCTGGGTCAAATACCTTAGTATTTTTCAGTTTTAATGGCGAAAAGACTCCAACATAATTGGTTTAGCCTGACATCGTTTATTCTCTCTTTGAAGTTACCATGATTTGTTAAACAATCAGTCTGGTTCGACTGTTATTCTTCACATATAAATATCTCAAGAAGCGATTGTGCAGTCAGACATTTATTTTCAATGTGGTATGCAGATAGATATCACAGAGACAGTGAATGTTCTTATCTTGTCTTTTTGTCTGGTTATTTTCATTCTCCACTCTCAGGAATAAGTGCCAGTGTACTAACACCTCTCCCTGTGAATTAGACATTATACAGATGAACGGTTATCATGGGTAAACGTGTTTAACCATTTGATTCGTGTGTAGTGTTTCTTCGTTTACAAAGATAGTTTGAAATAAGTTCCGTTAATCGGTAAAAGTAGAATGATGTAACTGAAATATAACATTGTTATGCTTTGATCCCTGTTTATTTGTTTCTTAATTCATATATCTTTTTACAGTTGAAATTATGTCGAAAACTCCATCATCAATATCAGTTATTGTTACTGGTCTACCAAGAACCGGAACGACCAGTATGAAAAAGGCATTGGAAATAATTTACAATCAACCTTGTTATCATGGTTACGAACTTGTGACCAGAAAACAATGTGACATTGCTAAATGGCAAATGCTTATCGATGAAGTACGAACAACACGTTGCGAGGAGAAGATACATAAATGTTTGAGTGAAATGTTGGTTGGCTACCGATCTGTGGGTAATATCCAAGTGTGTTGGTTATACAAGGAATTGATGACTTTATACCCTGATGCAAAGGTGGGTTGAGAGTTCTTATTATGTGGATGATTATAATCTCTGGACTTCATTATTTCAAATTATTGATATCCCTGAAACTCTTATTTCTAACATGGATATATATCGCAACGTTTGAGAACAGGTGTCAATTATCTGGTGTTTAGATATACCATTACCACGTACTTCATTTACCTAGTGTTATAATAACAAGTACTGAAAAATTCAATTGCTTCGTTATTTGCAAACTATGCTTCGTACACCAATTCAACCAAAGTGTAACTTGTTAATAAAATTAATAGTGAGAACTTCCTGAATTGAAAAGTAATATTTTCGTCACTTTTCGAAAGCATCCTCGCTCTTTCCCTTATAATCACTGAAATTCAACAATAGCGCAATCTGTAACTATTGCGGATAATCAATATTGCTGATCTGTGTTGACATTATGACTAAGTAAACGTTTTATGGAGAAAGACATAAGAACTGAGTGGCAGATGAACCACTGCACACGCCAGTTGATTGTGTGTAACTGACTAGTCTTAGCCAGTCGTCATTGACTTGGGTGATGTTATCACGAATGATCAATTGATCGGTCAGACAAACTTGATCCTTAAAATAGACCAAAGTGATGTTTTGGTATATATCTTTGAATGACTTTTGAAATGTGTTATTTCTATATCGATAATACTTTAATATACCATAAATCTCGTTTTATAAAGGTTGTACTAACGGTTCGCGATAAAAACGATTGGTTGGCTAGTTTCCGACAAGTGGTCATGCCTAAATCAGATGATCCACGTAAAATACAAATGGATGAAGCGAAAAGACGTGCAAGAATCCCTGTTGAATTTGACAAACTTCTTACTGATTCATTGAAACTAGCATTTCAGAACGAAGATATTGATTTTGATGATGATGCAATGTTACTTGAATGTTACGAAAAACATAACAAAACTCTTCAGGAAAATATACCATCTGAACGTCTTTTGGTATATCATATTGGAGATGGTTGGGAACCATTGTGTAGATTCTTGAATGTGGATGTGCCAGCTAATATACCATTTCCCGAGACCAACCATCACGCTGACTTGCAAAAGCTAAGGGAATTGACGAAGAAATTAGGATCGATTGAAGAAGTCGCTAGAATTCATCCAGGAATTGTATAAAACTGAAGTATACACTGATTGTACTAAACATTGACGTTATTATTAACTAAGAAATAAATTGTTATCAAGCCTTGAATTCCACTTTCTCATTGACAACCATGGTAATATTGGTGATAAAAATATAGTCGGTATAATAAACTAAAATTCAGAATTTCTTAATTATTTTCTCACCATACTTAATGTACATCAAGAACAGTTTATTAATAACGGTCAAATAACTGAATGTAGAGATGAGGTGATTCAATAGACGATGAGAAAACGTAACTCAACTACGTTTAGGTTTCTTGAAAAGAATGTAATACGTATGGAACAATAATTTCACGAACCCTGTCCGAAAATCACTCACTCACAGATACGCTGAAGCGTATTTACTTGCTCAAAACGACTGGTATTCTCTGAAACCATTAGATCACGTTGTTTTAGAAGATATCAAGGTGTCTGATAATACTATATTGCCAGATAACAATATATTACATGAGAAGTGCTAGTTTATAGCCAAGGTCAAGTTGCTACAAATGCTACAGGTTATACTGTATTAAGTTGCCCAATGACGTTGACATGTTATAGTGGACATGAGCAGTATAAACAAAGGCTAAGTCTCCATATATGAAATAAAAATTTCAGTATGGCTTATGAGTCCAATACGATGGCTGACGTGCTTTTAAAGAGCTACGTTGCGACGGCCAAGTGGTAATCTTTATAATGCGTAATTCACAGTGAACGGTGTTTCTACACTCACACTTATTAATGAGAGTGAAAAAAAAAATAACCAGACAAAAAGACAAGATAAGAACATTCACTGTCTCTGTGATATCTATCTGCATACCACATTGAAAATAAATGTCTGACTGCACAATCGCTTCTTGAGATATTTATATGTGAAGAATAACAGTCGAACCAGACTGATTGTTTAACAAATCATGGTAACTTCAAAGAGAGAATAAACGATGTCAGGCTAAACCAATTATGTTGGAATCTTTTCGCCATTAAAACTGAAAAATACTAAGGTATTTGACCCAGACAGCCAGAACTAAAAATACGCGCTTAGATGACACTACAAACGGACCACCAATATTTATTAAAATATCTCAATGAGAAATCGATTCGTAGCTTCATTCTATCAAAAAATTAATCAATTTTAGTTATACCTCACACAGAAACAACGTAATCCAAATTATCTAACTAATATATTTACTATATCTCATCAGGATTCATTTCGTCTCTCAGGTATTCGTGTTAGCGATCTTGGTTCTTGTGTTCATCTTGATTCATAATATCTCAGTTAGTTTATTGCTTAGGAGCAACGTGACAGACGACAAGACAAATGGTTTCGATCGTTGTTTCTTTTTGTTTTCACTTATTGATAATGATCTATCTTCCTAAACTGAGTATTCAATCATTTTGGATGAAAGATAATTTTACACAATAATCATTTTCACTGAGTTAATTTATTCTGGCATAAACCTACATACCTCGTCAAAATGCTAGTGAATCTTATGAAGTGAATTTCACTTATTCTTACAAATAAGTGTAGCCGTAATTATTTATTTCTTTATGTTGTTAATAATCCATTAAAATGGCTTTGAGAGTCAAACCAACGGTCATTCAACATCATAATCAGAAACTTCAATACGCACGTCGAAATTGTTGTAAATTACGGGGTCGAAACTGGAAGAATAACTTCGGCCGACATGAAAAACAGGCACACGTATTTATAAACAATCGTGTAATCGTGACACCTTTGATCCGTTGTTCGGATGTCATCAGGAACAATCTATTGATGTTTAGAACAAATTAATCCATCGCCCAGAAGTAAATCGGGACAAGATTCTATAGGTCGATAGGACATAAATTGTGGGAATCAAACTGAGTCTTGAGTTAACCGCTAGCTCGGAATCCTGAATCAGACCCACCGTGGTAATCAATAATGCTGTCAAGATGTGTGAAGGATTTTACACCCTACATAGCTCTTTCATCAAGCGTGATTTGATTGGTGCATGCTGTGTTGTATGGGAGAATCTTGCTTCTCCCTTTTTTTATGTTGAGACCTACTTCTACTTAGGCTGCTGCTACGCTGGTCGTTTTCTCCTGCATTTGTAGTTGCGATTGCGATAGAAGGGCCAGATCATCTGCGAATTCTAGATCGTCCAGTGGCATCCTAGATGCTACTCTTCATTTGCTTGTTACATTCTGTGTATTCAGCTTGTGCCTTGACTTTTTCTGCTTTTTTCGGCTGGTATTCATTGCTGCCTTCTTGTTCCTCCTTTTTTGAATCTTATCCAGTGTACCAACAGTGATCCATTACTTGTGATGATGCTTCTTGTGGCTCAGAACCTCATGGCATGTTGAAGTGATTACCTCTTTGTTTCCTTTCCATTTGCTCTCCATAGTGGTTTCTTCTTCATTGAGTAGATCATGCAAGGCCTGGAACTTACTGCTGAGGACTATCTTGAATTTGTTGCGTTTATCAGTATCCCGAAGAGAGGCCATATTAAACATTTCTGATATTCTCCTCACCGTTGTCCAGTACTTCTTGGGTTTCAATTTATTCTTGGTGACCAGCAAGTGATAATCTGATGCTAGATCTGCTCCTCTCTTGGTTTTCACATCATCCATCGTCCACCTGAACTTTTTGTTGATGCAGATATGGTGAAGTTGGTTTCGCGCAGTGTGATCCGTTGAAGTCCATGTGGTTTTGTGAATGCGTTTATGTTGGAAAATAGTGCCGCCTATGACCAGTTTATTGAAGGCACATAGGTTTACAAATATCTCTCCATTTTCGTTCCTTTCTCTCAGTCCGTTTCGTCCCACGATGTCTTCATATCCGGTGATGTCCATCTCAACCTTGGCATTTAGATCTCCCATCAGAATGGTCAGATCCTTTGTTCGGCACTTCTCGACGATTGACTGCAGCCTATCGTCGAAATGATCTTTAACGACCTCATTGTAGTCGCTTGTAGGCGCATAGCATTGGATGATGTTCATTGTAGTGCCCTCTTTCTTTGTTTTGAAGGAGGCTTTGATGGTCTTTGTTCTATGAGATTCGCATACTATTAGTGCATTTTGTGCTTGTTTGGACAGCATCAGTGCAACTCCTCGTGTATGTGGGGCATTTTCTTCTTCATGGCCGGAGTATAACAGAAGCTCCCCTGAAGCTAGTCGTTGTTGTCCAACTTGTATCAAATGTGTTCCATTGATCCTAAGCACCTCTAGGTTGTGTCTTCTCATTTCCACAGCCATTTAGAATACTCTCCCTGTCTCCCACATTGTACGAGCACTCGATGTACTTAAATAATTGGTTGCGCCGGTTGTCAGAAGGGGCATCCGCTTCGTGATCTTCAAAAAAAACCCAGATTTCATCATGAAGCGTTATGGTTCTTCTAGATGAAGACCTTCTGATTCCCAGGGCAGAGTTAAAATGGTTTGAATAATTATTTCTGGTTAGAGTTTGTTTAACTAATACAGTTTTGTGTGTCAAGTCTGTTGAGTACCTCAGGTTAAACTCTCTGTAATACTGTATTTTAACATATTTCACATTATGGTCAATGAGCAGTTTATTCATTCTAACAATTTTGTAAGTAGCACAAGATATATTTAATGAATACAGTTTTGAGCGTCACGTGTGTTATGTAACTCGGGTTTATCTGACTTTATTGATGTGTTTTAAGCTATCTCATTCTATTGTGAAGAGACATTTCACTTAATTTCACAGTTTATATTAGAGAAAATAGTTTAAACATTCTCACAGTCTATATTGGAGTAGTCATTCATATGGTTTGGTGGAATAAGTGTTTTGCTCATAATACATTTCTCTAACACTGTTTGATCAATCACTATGTGGTATATTGTCTTTCAGTTGTGCTGAGCTTCAGACATCGCCTTCCCTCCTTACGTTAGGGGAAGGTACAAAAATATGGCAATTATTTGTTTATTTCTTATGTTTTGTAAATTCGTTCCGTTTACTTATCAATTAGATCTGCTTTAGTGTTTAATCAACCTCGTTTTCTGTGTATCGCACTATATTACTCGCTAATTATAAGTAGATTGAGTCCATTTTAAGCATGTAACTATCTGGATCTCTTCTTTGTGATATGTCCTATAATTGTGTATTCACATGAATCTATTACATTCAAATCATTTATTAGTATATTTGAGTCTCCCTTATGTTTTGTAAAGTTATTCAATGTACTTGTCCATTCCATCAGTTTAATTGCTTAGCCATCCTCGTTTTGTGTATATCGCCATAAGCTACATGCACGCACTGGCAAAACCGATGGCAGAACGGAGCAGGGAAATGAGCGAGTAAGTGTTCTAGGTGAAATGTTCATACAAGTAAGGCTGTACCAGTCACAACGAACTAAGCAAATAATGTGAAACTCGGTGATCGATCAAGACAAATTCATTCAAGTTGAAAATTCGTCCAAATCACTGAGTACGCAAAACGTCATTTAAAAAGAGTGAGAGTTTTAAAATATCACAATTATGGTCATTCAAATGATAGTCGGACTAATATCTATGAATATTGATCATGTGATGAATAAATAGGAAACTGGTTTAAACTCGTTGAAAAAGTCGATAGACCACTATAAACTACATTTGAAATTCAGTTTGTTACGAACCACTCCGATATGCTTACACAAGTAATTCATAATTTGATGAAAATCATACTATCTATCATCTCACTTTCACGAAACCTGTCTTAGGTCATGAATTAAATGTGAATGAATTCACTATATTTATTAATTGCTGGGATCATCACAATAATGTGGTGAATACCTAAAACATTCACTGTAGAACGAAACATTTTATATTGTGTTTAAATCTCATTTATTTATACAATTTAATCACATTGTGGATACATCAGATTCGAGTACGGGCTTGTGACTTTCAAAATTGTAGACTTGTCAGAATTGGAATTATTTCGTTAGATTATTTCCAATTCACAAATGACTTACTTTGATTGTATTTTTTCATATGAGATTCATTTATAAAGCAGAATTTAAGTAATGAAACCATTTCAATTTCTGTATGCCTTTGATGCATGGTCATTTCTAATAAAACAACTGGTCTGCCACATTGGGA